TATTAATAAAAAATTAATTCTTAACGAAAAAAATTATATATAAACTAAGCAAACGTGCATTGCACGTTGCTTAAACCTAGTTATCTATAATATATCTAAATATCACATGAAATGAGAATCAATTTTTTAGACCATTATATCCCTAGAATCAATTTTTATTAGACCATTATAGCCCTACTACATATTATTCACATGCATATATAATAATAATTAATTAACATGTATTTGTACTTTGTAGATTTATTCACGTGCATGTATCTATTCCATGTACACTAAATTATACGAACTATAATATTCCATGAATTCAAATCCAAAGGGACCTTGGACCCTTCGTCTTCTTCTCCACTCTCCAGAGAACTCCACACACATTTTTCTCCTCTACTACAGCTCAGGCCATACTGTCAAAGCATTCACACACTCTCCCTCTCTCTCTCTCTGAAGCACCGTTCCATCTCCAAGCTTTCTTTCCACTTGAGTTTCTGGTACAAAGGTAGGAGGTATGAAGAACCCGTCTTTTTCTTTTGCTTGCAATAATTCAAACGGTCACTTTCTGGGTGCTGTGATTTTCTTGGAAATGTTCACTTTTGCTTATTTTCTCATTTTAATCTTATGTAATTGTCATAATGTTCTTGTGAGTTCTTTGAACGATGAAGGTTTTGCCCTTTTATAAATAGCGAATTTGAGTTAAGTAAAGTTATTTCTCAATAAATCAAATTTACATATTTTTTTAATTAATATGACAAGTGTTAACATGAAAAAAAATCACGAAGTTGAGTTAAGAAAGTAAAAAAGAGAAGGATAGAGGTAGAGAGATTATTTATTTCTGTGGGTAAAAAAATTACGAGTGAATAATTTAGTTTAACAGATAAAGCGGCTGGTTAGAAGGCAGAAACTGCTTTAGAGATATCTTTGCTCTTGTATTATTGAATCTGAACAGCATACAAATTCATTTATTATATTTAGATATGTGCATTTGGGCTTCATCTAAATTGAGTTACTATTGTAGAATTGATTGAAGAATTTCCATTTGAAAAGGATTGTCACTTGAAGACAACGGTATGTGCTACTTATCTAAATTAGACATTTTCTTGCCGACTCAATCTGATACCTTATTCGTGAACGATCTTTGTCCATCTGGTTGATGAGAGGGGTTTTCGAGTGGACACTGATACTCCTCTAGCTGATTTTAATTGTTTGATGATTGTGACTTATTGAGCTTTGAGTCTCACTGTTTACCAGTGAGAATTATTTTTGACTTCTTAAGATTAAAAATTTATACCTACTCTAAACATTTGATTGCTGTTATGTTTAATAGGCAAGTGATGCCATTGGACTATTATGTTGTTAATTTTAGAGAATGCTTCTACTTTGGATAACAGTTGTTGTGAATACGGTTGGGTGCAGGGAGTTAATGGGAAGGATGTTCAAATTCAACTTATTGCTTTCATGGAAAGAAATACTGGGAAGTTTATGAAAGAGCTTTGGTCGCTACTTCTAAGTGCACAGAAAAATGTGGGTGGTGTTCCACCGCAACTTCTGGATGCCAAAGAGGAGGAAACTAAGAAAAAGGTCTACTCATGCTTCCATAAGTTTTTGGATATTCTATATCCATGGTGTGTCTTTGTCTAACGATATGTCCATGGGTTGTTCACTACAACAAAAATAGCCTACGGTAACGTTCAAAAAACGTTGCCGTAGGCCTACGGCAACATTTGGACGTGTGTTGCAAATCGAGGTGTTGTCTAGAGTAAAGAGATATGACAATGTTTTTTGAACGTTGCAAAAAGTCTTCGGCAACGTTTAAAAAAGGTTACCGTAGAGATACGGCAACGTTTGGCAAACGTTACCGTAGGCTGGATTTTGTTTTTTAAAACAACAATTTATATAAATTGATTGGCAAATTTAAAAATGCACCTTATGAACAAATTTTGGAATTCCATAAAAATTGATAATTTATTACAAATTTTTGAATTCATGCACTTGAATATTAGAATGTGATACAACATCAATTAAATAAAAAGAAGCTTTAAAATAAAATAAAATAAAATAGTAATGGAAAACCTCGATTCGATCTGACTTCAAGAAGGAAACTATGAATTACACTACAATGTGGAGCCGAACAATGCCCTCGCTTCGA